GACATCTGTGATGGGTCTAATGAGAGATTTCAAAATCTAGTCAAATCGAAAAAAGGGACAATGATGGTGAATGTGGCAGATTATATTTTGGGAGCAAAGGAAAAGTACAATAAAACTGGTGCAAATGCCACTAAGAAGGTAACATTTACAATCGTGTCTGAATATTGTTTGATATTTACTGTCCACGTCCACAGTGGTAAATAAGGACTATCAGCTAGCATCTGAGCCGGTTCTCAGAGTTTATAGTCACTGCAATTTCTCTTAACAATTTACACACACCGAGCCCTTACAGCAAACAGCGATGATAGTACTCACTCTCATTCACACGTTTGTGTGAAAGAATCAGGCCAGCGGGTTCCTCACTCTCACCCACACCTAAAGACACCAGCAGGTAAAAGGACTAAAAGTATTTCACAGGTTAGAACCAAAAAAGAAAAGTGACCTTGGGAAAAGAGAAAGATGGTCTGAAAAGCAAGGATGCTGCTCAACGGCCAGCTGCAGACCCCTCACTGACCCAGGAAGAGTCAGCTACACACACAGAGGAACAACCAGCTACGTTTTACTGCAACGGCTCTGGGCACCACCGTGCCACGCAAGCTGGCACAATTCAGTAGCGGCCATCTTCTGCAAAAAGAGGGCAAGCCCCACGGTTGTGTCTGCAGACAGAGGCACAACAGTGACCCTCTGCCCTGCTCCCGCAAAACCCCGGGTGCGAGCCCTGCGCCTGCTCTGGGCACTGTCCTCCGAGAAAGCTGGAGCACCGCAGCCCGGAGGAGAGCAATGAAGTCACCCGATGCTGCAGCAAACACAGTAAGAAAACGAAAGGCAGCTGTAATGTTGCAATGGCCGTTTACCTATTTGAGCAAAAAAGGTAGGGAACATTTTATTACAGTGATCGTAGCAGCCCAGTTAAAGATAATAATTAAAAAAAGGATACATTGAAGCAAAGGAGATTTAGTGTACGTATTAGGATAAAACTTCATAGTGGCAGAGATAATGGCTGGAGAGACTCTGCAATCCTCAAGCCGCTGTCTGTCCAAACAAAACCCGTTTGTAGACATGCCGCTGGAGGACTCCACGGTCCAGAACAGGATGAGGAGGGGGAGCCTGGCCTCCGAGACATCGTCCTCCCTTTCCCTCAGCCGCTCTGATATTGGGACTTCAGTCTATCTTCAGCTCCCAGGAGACAAAAGCATTAATGTGTTCAGCCCCGGCAGATCAAAAGGCAGATTGGTATGACTCACAGCCACTTAGCAACTTGCTTAAATGAATTGTGGACAAAAAAGCTGTTCACAGAAATTGCTGGCAATTTCCCTTGAACATCTTGGGACTGAAACCTTACTTTATATAGGTCCCTATAGCTATTAACTTTCTTTTAGTAAAATTCCTGTGTTTTATGCCCTTCATAAGTCCAGTGGTGCTAGTTCTGTGCAGGACATCCCTAGCTAGAAAGGAAATTAAAAAGATGGTAATTTTAAAATCTAAATTCAAACAGCTGTTAATCATTTGGCATAAAGAAAAATAAATGGAAGACCCACAGACAAATCACTAGTGATTCCCAGCTCCTCATTCCAGTTACTTAAAAAAAAGCAGCCTTCTCTCTCTTTAGTTGTCTGCTCTGGCTTTCATTCATCTTTTAAATAAATAAACAAACATCCTAAATGCATTCCTGTAGGTCTCATTTTCTGGAACTGGCTTTTGCCCTCCTATTTGTCATTTCTTGGGGGACTACTTGGTATTTATGTCTCATGATTACAAACAATATTAGAGGTGCAATTTGAAAAAAGCAGTTCTAGATATTTTGTATAAATTGCTTTCTAGCTTAAAACATGTTGCTGTTGGGTTTTAAAGGGCCAGCCACAGTTGATCTTGTCTGATTCTTTGGGCTCTGATTCCAACTCTGCATGGCCGTGGCCGACAGGCTGGCAGTCCACCAGCTGCGTTCAGCCTCTCTTGCTCTTAATTGCTCAGTTCCCCAGTTCTCCTCCCTTGTCGGTTCTGTTCTGGCCGCCACAATTAATTCTCATTTCTTTCTCCTGTATTCACCTTCAGTTCATTAACTTCTGGCCAGTCTCCACTGCTGCTTCAGCTCAGCGTTTTGCAATTTCTCTTGTCACTGTTTAAGGCCTTTTTTGTCCCTCTTCAGTTTTTGTAGGGTTGCCACCTTACAGAAGAACGGGTGAGTATTTTGCTGTTGCCAGGTAGGTGCCAGGGAAGCTCCTGTCTCTCCCACTGGCCATGTTCCTACCGAGGCTGGTCTGGGAGCACAGAACCATCTCAAGGGTGCAGCAGCACCAGCAAACCCTTCTCTCCCCTGTAGGCTTAAGAGCTGTTTTATGCACAAGGATGCCTGAGGGAAGAGGCTGTCTGACAAACCCCGACTCTCAGATGGAAGTTCCCAACTCCAAGTGGTTGTTTTAATGAATATTATAATTAATATCCCCCAGCGGAGGGTGTTTTCATCTTTCTGGGCAGAGCCAGGAGGCGCTGACTGATGGCTCTTCCCCAGGAGAGAAGAAGTGTGGTCCCCTCTGCTTGGGCTTCTCTCTCAGCGCCTTTTTTCTCAGCAGACTCGTAGCCTCACTGAAATTCCTCACGGGTATGTCATTGTGTAACCAAAGTCATACTTCAGCTGTTTGGTGGTTCTACAAACATGCCTTAATCTGAGTTAATTCTTGGAGGTGGATCTTTGCACAAATTTGGAAACAAACATTTAGCTTTTCTCTGTGGGAAAGTAAAAGGGAGCTTGTGCCTACCTGGAGTTTCTGGTCCTGGTATCGCATCACTGGCAGATGACAGTGATCAAGTGAAGTATAAAATGATTGCAGACAAGCCCTTCATAAATCAGCTGGCTGTAGGACAGATTTTGTTTGAGCCAAATTCCCTCATACGTAACAGTGGAGCTGCAACACATGAAACTAAGCCCAAATGAAACCTTAATACAGCTCCCTGATTACTTTCAAATCTCACCAGTAATGCATATTTTTACTTTACAGACATTGTGCTAAACCCTGTGCAAATACAGGGAAAGACAGCCATTCAGTAGAGACTTCATATTTATTGAAAGGAAAGAACTAGAAAATGTACAAAATGGGTTCAGGAATACTGATGCTCCACATGTTTTATCAGCCAGTTGGTGTTGCAAAATGATTTGGAAAAAAAAAGAAAAAAGGTATTTCTTAGGGTGAAGTTGCATGAAACAGCTAACACATTAATTTGAAACATTAGTTATTTGAAGGGAGTGATTCTTCCAAGCAGACACTGGCATCTAAGTAGTTAACTCCTAAGGCAAAGCAGGCAATATACCAGCTGATGCAATTGGTGGCAGCAGGAGTTTGGAAATAAATATCTCTATTTGGCATGGAGAAGGGAAACGGAGCTCAGATTTCTGTGGATTGCCTGGCCCCAAGTTCATGCCTCAGAGCTCGCATTTCTGTGGTAAAGCAAAATTAAATCTCAGAGTTTAAGATCCGGGGTTCTATTTATTAAAATTCATCTGGCCTCCCTAGACTGTGAATATTTGGAGTTGACCTAGAAGGAGCTCTTGATAAAATCAAGCTCTCGCGGGGCATTTCCAGTGTTTTCTGATAAAAGCTTAGTCGAATTGCGCTAACAAAACCTGAGACACTTTAAAGCGGTGATTATCGTCCCAGCTAGAACTCAGAAACACAGTGGCATGTGAAAACAAAGAACAAAGAAAAATCCCAAACCTCCAGAAATCCCAACTGAGTAAAAACCCAGGGAACAGCCACTCGCGGTGATTTCTGATGCACTTTGGCCTGGGTTCATCCCGGCTGCGTCTCCAGAGCGGCTGCAGTCAGGGCGATGGCTGACAGAGCCGGCGGCGAAGGGAGCGCTGCCTGGGAACGCAGCTCAGCTCCCTCCTGCCCACAGCCGCTCTCCGCAGGAGCCCTGTCCCTGGCGGCAGCGACTCAGGGCGGTATCTGACGCTAAAGGAGATGGCTCTAGCATTAATGTATTCAGATCTATTGCCTGGCTGTGCCTATGGCTGTCCCACTCTGTGGGTGTGTGTGGGAAGGCGTGCGTTTTTAGGTTTGGCAGTCCCTTTGAAACGAGATTCCTGCTTCTCAATATCACACCAAAGTCAGTATGACAGATGGTACTAGAGCTGGCTGTCCAGAGCCTACCCTACGCATTGCTGAAAAGGCTTGTTTGTCCTATGCACCCTACGACGCCCTGGAGGTATCAGCATTTTGTCGTTTGACTCCGTTCCTATCATCGCTTTTCTGCTCGGAGATTCTGCCTGCTATCCTTATGTCATCTCCACCAGTCAACAGTGCTGTTCCTCAGGCCAAGCAGAAATCTCTGCTTCCAGCTCAGTGTAGCTTCAGAAGCTCCATTATCTGCTGTCTCATGGGCAACGTCTACATGCTGTCACAAACCTGTCAACAGGTCTCCATGTGAGCAACCTCAGCAGCAGACACACACCAGCACACCTCAACAGAGCCCTTGAATCACGACGACAGCCTCCTGTGTTGCTACCCAAGACTTGCTCTACAGACGGTACACACAGCTCTCCCAAACCACCACCTTTTCAGCTTGGAACATTGCATTGTAGCACAAACCACAGCAAGGACAAAGAAACACTGTCCTTCCTATTTAGCAAGTCCACACTTGTGTTCCCCACCGGCTTCATTCACGCCCGTTCCTAAGGAAATGCAGTTCAGCTGAGCCGGTCTCGGCAGCGACGGAACCGCTGAGCGGGCTGCACTGCTACAGAGCGGGTCTAGCTTAAAGGCAGGTTTGCTTATGTGATGATGAGCAAGCGGGAAAGGTCTCTCTGCTGCTAGCTTGATACAAAAGAAAATAAAAAGTAAATGATTATCAATAAAGTGTGTTTGATTAGGTGTCACTGAGAGAAAGAAAATGCTGTTTCATGTCACTTTTTAGAAAGCACAAGGTGTGTAACTTTTGGGGATGATTTTGCTCTTGACTAATCTTCAGATTCCATATTAAAATCTCAAACTTCCCAAAGGAAAGAGATTCTGCATCTTTTAATGAAAGATAAAACAACAATATAAACATACACAAATTTACAGAGAAAGGATCAACTTTAATACATCTGGAGTAAAAGGTGTTCTTTTTTAAATATGGTATAAAAATAAATGCAAGAAACATTAACAGAGAATATACAGACAACAGACAAAGACACAGGCTTTCTTTCTCAATGTGAATACATCAGTGAAATGAAACCTTCTGTGCTAATTTATTGTGCAATAAATGTGATGCCATATGTATATTTATTAATATATGCACTTTTTACATTTCTTCCAGTTTTTGATTGACGTATTTTTTTAATAAACTGTGCCTAGCAGAAGCTTTTTTTTCACTGTACTTGAGCTTGCAGAAAATAAAAAGACACAGATCCAGCTTGATATGAAGGAGGAAGTGAGCAGACAGTTTTCGAAATGGAGGCATCGAAAGGCTAGAGAGTCCCTCGGAGTCTGTAATGCCTTAGTATACACAAAAGAAAACAAGTCAGGTCCTTGCTCATGCAACATCTTGTTCTACTGTCCTCTGAGTCAGGCAATCAGTGAGCTACAAAGTATGTATAATGATTTGAGTCTGCTTCCATGCTACAAGGTGATCCTTTTAGTAGGACTGCACTAGACTGGTTAACCTCTTTGATGTGAGCGATTTCCCCTGAGGAAAAGATAAAAACAAAAAACAAAAACAGAAAACAGAGGCATGATCACTGCAAACCTGTTCATCAGCAACCAGTTAGCGTTGCCACATCACTGTCAAATAACTAGGGGCACCAACTGGAGTCTGTCAAATCTGAAACCCCAGGAAGCCCTGACGCTGAAGCACCTGCCCTGCCAGCCAGCCAGATCGTTTCGCAGAATAAGCCAGCAAACTGAAAGGCCAGGTTGGAATGAGGTTGGTTGCGGCTGATGAGAAACTAACGCTGAGGGTTTTGCTGTCAGTCATACCCAGAACTTGAAGAAGGCTACTACAAGCGAGAGCGCCTTGTGCTGCAAAGATGAATGTGCAAACTGCAGTAGCTCTGTCATGGAACACAAAAAGCTACTTCAAAGTTAAGGTAAGAAAGTAAGAGCCAGATTGCATACAGGCAGGAAAGCAGCTTTTTTCATGAACACAGCTATTGATTTGCTGAGACCATATTTGCTTTTTATAAGGAACATTGGCCAGGTGGATCACATGTGACTGCGTAACACTGCTTTGAAGGCGTTTGGATTTCCACATTGTTATTTTCCTCATCATTCCTCCCGTTGCAAGGATGCAGTGTCAGGTTTTTAGCCAGCTCTTTTAGTAAGATATAATGACTATCCCACAAGAGTTACGTCTACAGCACGAAGAGGATGGCGCAGGGTATGTCACCATGGTATATTTCAGGCAGATTTGAGCTTTATCTGAGCCAGACAAAAGCCATGAAGCCGCGTAACAGGAATTAGCTCTCCTAAGGCCACATGAAAGGAGTTAGATCTCCTAAGGCCATCCTACCGCGGCTCTGATCCAGCAGAGACAGAGCTGGCACAGCAAGCTTACATCACCCCTCAAAATAGCACAGGCATACCCTGATCATGTACCACAAATAGATCATAGAACATTAAATAGAAAGTGGCTCTCTAACTCTCCAGTTAGATATTTAATACTTACATTTATTGTATTGTTCATTTTAAGTGCACAACTCAGAAAAATCAAACTGATTTCAGGGAGGCTATAGTTAGAAATACTGTAACTACGGAGAGATGCTACATTTTCTGCAGTAAATGGTAAATGAACTTCTTCTGCCACATCAATGACTTGTTAAGTCATCTGTTGTATTATAACTCAGTGAAATTGCACAGTTTAATATCTATTGTCATTATCAATTAAATTTACGCTCAACAGGGATCTGCAAGTTGGTTTCAAGCATTTGCTCAAATGCAATATATCATAATGAGTCTTCACAAATGGAAGAATAACTATTTTATTATTTCTGCTCTGAAATACAAGTTGAACAAATTAGGATGAATATTTTCCCTACAATACAATTTCAAAGGGAACTCCCGATCTGCAGTGTTGGGTTAGGCTGCTCATCCATCAGGTTCACCGCATCACCTGACAGCTTCTTCGAAAGACAGGAAGCGTCCTTCCTGGCGCGCTCTCTTCCCTGGGTCTAGCTTCAACTCTGTCGCTTTCTACCTACGTTAAATTCACAGCTTCTTGACACTTATTAAACCTTAAATTACGTCTTCTTGACACTTGTTAAGCCTTAAATTACATATTCCTTTAATGTAACAGGTAAGCTGTTATAGTAAGATGTCTTTTCTGTTTAAATATTCCAAAATGTCTCAACAGCTGTGTGGCAGTGGAACAAAATTTAAAACAACATGTCCAAAATTAAGTGGTTTTTTAGGCGATTCATTATTGTCAGCCTTGGACATCATCTAGGAAAATATTGAGCACACGTTTATCTTTGCCTTTGATGAGGTTATTTGTGCTTAATTTTACAGGCCTACTGGCCTGGCTACTTTCTGTAAATATGAATGAGTTCCCTTTAGTACTGAACTGCACAAACCAGGTAATTAAAACAATTAAACCAGGAGCTCTCGATTAGTTATTAAAACAATATGCTCAATAACACACTGGAAAGATGTGCAAGCTCGTGTTGTGCGATAAGATTGGTGAAATAATTTTTTATTCTTATCTACAACAATTGATTATTTAGGAGTTGTAAACTCACTGGAATTTACATGGGTGAACCATACCAAATTCTAGCATCTCAGGAATGAATCGTGGTATCACATAAACTAGGAAGTTTTGACCTAAAAGCAGGCCAAAAAAAAGTTGTTAGGTAGTTGATCTGACCTGTGTAATCTTCTTCTACATATTGTTTGAATTTTCCCCTACAGACACAGTGAGCTACCATGACAAGTTTTTCCTGTGTTCTACACCACTTGCTCCCTGGATATTGCCGATCTTTGGACACTTTTCCTCCTAAGCCCTACAGTGATCAGGATTTCTCTGGATGGTCCTCTCCTCCACCTTCTCTCCCTGCTGCAGAGAATATTAGTTTCTTAAGATACAAAGTCTCCATCTGAACAACAATAACATATACTTTTTTCCCAGGTATTAGTAGTTCTAGTTTATCTTATAGTTGGGAAAATGACAACTTAGAAGTCACACCCTCCCTAAGAGATCTTCTTCCATGTTTCTTCTGCATCATACTTGGTTCTCTGATTGGGAAAACGAGTTTTTCATACACAGAATCCATAGCAGCCCCAAATACAGAATTACCCCACCTTCTTATTCAGATCTGCAGGGTTTTTATATTTTCCACTTTAGAGACTATTTCTTTCAAGCTCTGTTCCACAGTATACTTTTACTTTAGCTCTGTACGGTAGGGTTTTGTAATTATCACTTCTAGGAGTTTTGCAGAGTTTTCAATTTACAGACTGAGGTAAGGATCAGTGTGTCATAATTTAAGAGCTGAGCCCAGCTATTTCTTTCAGATACCACGTTAATAGCATTTCCAAAAGCCAAATTTTGATTTGGGAAATTACATCTAACAGGCCAGTTTTGAGAGGTATAGCATGAGTCATCACACATAGGAAAATGTTTCCTGTGCTAATGAGATAAAAGAACAACCAGAAAAAAAGTCAGAAGTAGTAAATGTTTGTCTGAAGAATGAAAAGGAGACCCTTAATATTTTAAGTACATGCTTGCCATCAACATTTAGAAGTATACAGCCAACTTCTAAACAGTATCAGGATTTTTGGCTGTATTGCTGCACTTTGGACGTACAAATTGAAACTATTTAACAATTTTACTGATAACACAGAAGCCAAAACGAAACCCCGTGCACAGACCCTGAGAAGGGAGTTGGAGTATGAGGCGGCAGCACAGCAGCTGGGGTGAACAAGTACATTTAAGAATAAAACATCACTTGGTCTCAGTGCTCAGTCCCTAGTTTAGTGTAATAACTGTTTAACATACAGTTGTCCTTCCAACTGTACTTTTAGAGAATTTAGGGGGAAAATTATGAAACCACGTGCAGACGTATGAGCTGCTAAATACAAATGTGCTGACTGACCTATTTATTCAGCATGACACTAACACCTCAAATAATCCGGCAAACAACCTCAGTACATATGTGGCTTACAAGAAATCAATATGAAATTTATATAGGGCTGGAGCTGAAATGTACAGTAGAGGAAGATCAAGTCTTTTTCTTTTAGAAGATTTATTCTCTTCCTTTCTGCTAAGCAACCTCAATGGCTCCTTTTTCATGTTTCTTTACTGCCAGCGCAGATGCTACTCCCCAGGACCAGTACTGGTAGAACTAGAAATGAGAATTCCGCGCCTCTGACTGGCTGTAACAGAGAAACAGCGAGAACCCCGCTGTGAGCAAAATGAGATGCAGAGTGAGAATCGACCCTCCTCGCTCTCACCGTTCCCCATCTGCTGACGTGCGACACACCTGCAGCACGCCAGCAGCTTGGCCGGCATCAGCAGGGAAAGCTCCCAGGTGAGATCGCAGCGCAGCACACACTGCGCTGGTACATAAACAGCCCCTGCCAGAAGCACATCTGGAGAGGCACAGGAGCAGAAACAGTAAATCCCTTTCCAAGATTAGGCAGCTCCTCCAGCACAGGGGAATTCCTTTAGCACCGCGCAGGGGGTCAGGATTCTGCTCCAATTTCCGCAGCAGCACGGGACGCTGCTCTCAGCCTCCGTGCGGGTGGGTTTCTCTTTCGGACACGTGAAGAAGGGGAGGAGGTTAGCGGTTACTGAATTTGGGGCAGGAGTTGTCAGCACAGCTGCAATGCTAAGTGGTTGCATGTGCAGGAAAATCCTCCTGCCTGTCGTGGGGATTTGCAGTCCTCTGTCCATTCCTCGTCAGGGCTGTGCTGTTTCCTGGAGCGGTCCATGGACGGGAGGCAGCGGCTGAGTGACAGCGTTCCTATTTTGGCTTGATCCAAATTGGGTGAAACTCTCTATTTCTTTCTCCTTTCACACTAATCTTTACATTTATTGATGAGCTGCTCTCATTTGTGATTAAGCTACAAACCCTTGCCAGCTGGGGTCGACTGAACTCCAATAACCACCTGAAGTGTGGGGTAACACGTAAGGTTCCAAGGCACCAATGCACTAGCCTAATATTTTTAGTATGTTTGTCCTAGGCCTGACCCCTCAGGTTTCTATACATCCCTGCAGTTCTCATTCCTGCAAATAGCTTCAGACTCCGGTAAATGTTTGTCAGCTGGGAGGTGGCAGACATTGGCCTAACACCTGAACAGTCCGCGTTGGCTCCGCACTTAGATGACCCGGCTGGGCAAGCACTGCTCCTCAGCTCTTCTCCTCCAGCGCATAGCGCAGCAGCTTAGCTCCGCTCACAGCAGAACAGGACAAGGAGGCCAGTCCTCACTGGCGTATGCTACAGATGCTCTTTTTGATTTTCCTCATTAGCCTGGGCATCGTTTCTGAAAAAAACCCTCAAACTAGATTTTTGGACTAATTATTAGCCCAAACTAAAAATTTCTATTACTTCATCAGTTATTTTAGTCAAACATCAATAAGCCATCTCTTTCTTGAAATGGAAAAAGCCTTCATTTCTACAAATACTTAGTAATATTACTATTTTTTTCTATTTGTCAAATAAGAAGCTTCTGAAATTTTTTTTTTCTTGACTCGCTAATTTTTGGTTTAAATTTTAGGAATAACTTGTAAGTAAATTCAAAAGTCTAACTGGGATTTCTTCCACAACCATACATTGAACATGAGATCCCACAGCTGATATTGCATTGAAGCTCATTAACAGTGCTATGCTCGAGAAAAATATAGACTTCGGTGGAATTTCAGGGCTAGATGGACTTTTGTTCTGGCACAGTAGGGCTCTTGTGTATAAAAGTTTGACCTGCTCATACAGGAAAATTTCTTGATTAGCAGATGAAATTGATATATTCTCTGCCTTGTTTCTCACTAAAGAGACAGATTTTAACATGATGAGATTACACTCGTTCAAGCATCTAGAAAGCCTGTCCCTCACTGATAAGAACTGAGGAAGCTATCTTTATTAGTTTTAATTTCTATTTCTAGACCATAATTTGCTATGTCATGTTAAGTGATATTGGACTGCAAAAATGTGCTGTGTTCAATGGCCTTCACACTTCACATCTCATGCATGAAATGGTCTAACGTTACTGGTTTGGAGGGGCAAAACATCGAAGGACACTGGCTAGCGTTCACAAAGGTCTTGCTCAGACTATCGCCCTGCCACTGTCACAAATCCCACGTGCGCATGAGAAGTTAAAGACAAAAGTTTTCCATAAAAAACCTCTTTGTTTCCATCAAAATTGTCAGTGCATATTCACCTGTTTTTTAATCTTTAATGTAGAAGTTAGTACTTGAGGTAGAGGAAGTTTCCTGATTTTTTTTTTTTTTTATTATTTTAAAAATAAGGATTTTTTTCCCATGTAAATTCCTAAAAAAAATTTCAATTTTTAAATGCCATGGAAACAGCTGATTTCCCTCTCTCTGCTACTGTGGAAAGCAATGAGATTCTCCTGCTCCCTGACTTACGCCTTTAGCTTCCCTGCTAACCTCCTCGGGGACCTGCAGGTGACTAGAACTTAATTATTCCCAGAGAGAAACCTGAGGGGCCAGGCTGGCCAGAGGGAGCACAGAGCACACTGCCACCGCTCCCTGGGCCTCTGAGTCCGAGCTGTGACACTTGTGGTGGCCAGTGTTATTCCAAGGCAAAGCACTTATCCGACTGCATCATTCCAGCAGTGCTGAAGTGTATGTGCTCCATATTTTCACACAATACCCAGGAGTGTAAATAAGTGAGGCAAACCAAGAATATCTGTGCTTACTACTCAAAGACAAACCATAAAGCATTCGGTAATAAATATTTCATATAGCAAATGCCAGTTTGCTATTACTTTATCTACATGGTACGTGAATGCAGACCTGTTTCTAACACTATTCATATTTTCTGTTGCAGACTACCAAAAGCATTAGCAATTTTGCACTACAAAATCTACAAAGCAAGCTAAATAGCCAGTGTTTTTAAGATGAGCATTTAGGGCTTTCACAAAGTGCACAAATTTATTGCAAGTTTTCTAGAAAGAAAACTCTCCAATGTCAAAGAAATGCAGAGTTGAGCCTAGAGTTTTTTTGTGCATAGAGGTCCACTTTTATTTTTCTCCCATCAGACTAGAATAATGACTCATTATACTAGGTTATTTCCACTTAATTCAAGGAATAGCACAGAGGGATTGCCCTTACAAAGCTTCTAAACCTTTTAGTTTAACAAATGCTTTCTGCAGCAAGTATAACCCACTTTCAATCATCACTGATCAGGAGCCTCTTACAGTCTCCATCTTAACAAATCAGGTTATGCATTACAAGGTCATCTTCTCAGGTTCAGTCCCTAGACACAACCAAGGTTACTGGGGTTTTTTTAAACACTTCATGTGGAAAAAACTGAGGTCTGATTTAGCTCCATACAAACCCAATTTGATATAAGTGAGGAAAAAAACTGTGAAATTTAGTCTAAATTTTCTAAACCATTATAGGAGAAGAGAAACTGTAATTTTCATTTTACTAAATCATTCAGAGATGACAGCATTTGTCCAGGTCGTAGAAGATCTGTTTCACACCTATTTTCTGTATTAATTGTAAGAACAGGTCTATACCACAGTCCCTCACTTCACAGTTGAACAAGTTAATCAGTACGCCGTAGGATATTCTGAGAAATGTTTCCCTCATCCCTGCCAGTTGGAACCACTGCACCAAGGTAGATAATTACATATTATAAACTCATCATAACCAAGAACGAGAATGGAAGAACAAGGATGCCTGATGGCAAGGGGTCCTGGGGCAGTGAGTGATGTGAGTCCAGTTGTCTGGGAGAAAAGGATTGCGCTTGAGCATCCTGACATTCTGGATTATTTTGTAAGCCGCAGAGCTGCCAATCGAATAGAGAATAGAGATCTAGTAGTGACATGTTTTACTTTCATATATGACCCGACTTGACAGACTCCACTCGGATTCACAGGTAGTAGCTTGAGGAAAAGCAAAACCACTGTTTTTATTTTATAGCTTGCTCCTTGAAAAAAAGAATCACCCACTTCTACTGAAGAAGCACTAACGCTTCACATCCAGAAATCCCCATTCCCATTTCTAGCTCACAGCTGATTTATTGGGCCTGCCTTGCATCGCTGGCATCCTGCTATTCTCATACTTCTGCCCCGAGATCAGCACGATTAAAATTGGGCACGCCTGCAGGTCATCATGCTCCAGCGCTTGTGCACAGAACGGCTGGGTTCTCAGCAACGCTGCTCCGAGAGGGATTATCGGAGTCATCTCAGTGCCTCCCGGTCTCTCTTCCCTTTTCCCCTTTTTGCGCTGTATTCTCCTCACATCTGTTTGCAGCTTGCTATCTCTCTCCTTATAGCCACCTGTTTACACACTTTTTACCTAACCTGTTGCTGATCTGTGGGCTGTTAAAACTCCCATGAATAAACATAGTTATCACAGCTTGCCAGGCACTCTGACTAGCAAAAAGCCTGGCTCTCAGAGTTCCCAGATGCACTTCCTATGCTCTAGGCTCTCTTTTATTAACATAGGCTCTTTTATTAATATGGAACTTCCTATAGGATTATCATGTAATTATCATGTATAATATTATCATGTACAATGTTGTTTTATAGATCAACCAACCTGCTTAGACAACACACAAATCACACTGCAACATGCTATGGCAACACCACCATGCAAAATATAGGGGTTTTTGTTTCAAACATTGGGATAGTTTCCTTTGTGGCTGTTTATTTACTTTTAAATGTTGTTTACTGACTTTGTCCCATTGAATCCAAATTTCTTCCTGATTACAGTGGATTCAAAGCATATTACAGGAAGCCTTTACCTATAAGAAAGTAGTTAAAGAATTACAGTTTTGTTTTAACATGTGAGATATTCCCACAGCCTCAGAAAAACTTTGTTCTTTCACCATATTTATTTCTTTTTTTGATTACTAGAAAGGAGATATATATATATATATTTTTTTTTAATACTTGAGGAAATACCCTTGAGCCTCATTATACAGGAGGCAGTTTCTGCGAACTGTTTCTCCTTCCCTAGAAACTAAAAACAAAAACCATGATCTTTGCTGAAAGCTCTCATATTTTTCATTTCAACACACACAGCTCCACTAACCAGGTCACAGACAAAGCCACGGACGCACACACACACACAGCAGCATCACCTGCACAATTCAACAGACAATGCAGACAAACTTGAGTATAATCCAAGATCTTTCTACCTCTTTTCATAACAGGTTAGTGCTCGCCCTCAGTGTTGGTGTACAGTTTTTATGGCATGGGAAAATAGGGATGTTTCTGCCCTACAAAAATAAATGCGTTGAATGCTTTAGTTTGAACTTTCACAATGTTAAAAAAAAAATCCAAAGAAACTGGATAAGTAAAAAGAATCCCACATATCAGGAAATCAGTGGATTTTTTGGCAAGTGGCAAAAGAATGCCCATAGCAAATTTACCAACCTTCTTTTTTTTTACCTACATGAAATAGACTGCAAAAATTATATTAAAAAAAAAATCAGTTCTTGTAGTCCATTATCAAAATGAAATCCCAAGCAAACCCTTGTGCATCATTAGCATGAATTCTTTGGTCCTGAAGAAGCTGTGCTATACATTAAGGAAGATAAATATTGCTTTTTTTTACCCATCCCCAATAAAAAAAAAGGGACAAACTCTTTTTTATTAAAATAAAAAAGAGACAGGAAGGAAATCCAATGTATTCAAACTGCGTCAGACTTAGTATTTTGGGAGGTACCAGAAAAAGGAACAGCACCAAGCAGGTTTTCACAGATTTTTTACTACAATTAACAACAACAAAAAAAGGAGTGAATAATTTCATGCTTCCTAATGCAAAAAGCATGGCTCCCAAAGGTCCATTCCTCCATGTGTGACTACTGAGGTCAGTGGCAAAGGGACTAGGGAGGAGGGATTGTAATGAAAGCACATTGTAAAGCCATCATTCCAAGGAGAATTCCCAAACTGTGATAAATACACTTTTAACTGTCAGGTTAGAGAAGCAAAAGGAAAGTAGGGATTGGTGAAGGGGAGGGGAAAAGGACGTCCCATCAGGTTTACTAGTCTTCCAAGGCAACAAACTTACCACATTGCGTGTGAATTTCTCAAAAGATGTTCGACGATCCAGTGTGTTTTCCAACTTAAATTTAAAATAAAATTAAAAAAAAGAAACAAAAAGAAAAGAAAAAAGGAAGGCAAAAAGAAACACAAGGAAAAATGGAGTAGAAAAGAAAGACTGATGAAACAATGGACTGCAAAACAAAGTTTGTATAAATCAGGAAGCAAACACAGGAATGAAGCTGTAATGGGACTCTGCAAAACAGGGGATGGGCAAAGCAGATATAATATTCGACAAAAATAATTTTTCATGGGGATCAAAGTGGTTTGATTTAAAAGAAAAACTGAAAATAAAAAGAAATAATGAAGTGCACGTCTTGTGTTAATGAACTGACAGTCACAAACTTAAGGACTTCACACGGACAGTTGTAGCTTTCTGGTATTTTCAACATCTCTCTCTATATTGGATCTTCAGAAATCAATGTTTGAACAAAAAACAAAATCACACAGTACTTTCATATAATTTTAGGTTGTCATTATAAACAATAGAATGCCATGGTGTTAATAACTAACTTGTTCCGGTAACAATTGGGGCCCTGATTTTGCACGGCACAGCGCTCCCAGCTGATTCTAGGAGATTACTATTTAGAGCCCACTAATAAAATTATTTATCATTATAGAAATCTTCATTGCACAAGCTGCTCCATATACTCTGGGCTGTGTCTATTCAGAACTCATTCCATAATCTGGACTTTTCTAAGCAAATATTACATACCAAGACATGAGCCTCTGCTTGCCGAAGTGTGACATGACCAGTCTTTCAAGTCATATTATAGTTGAGATTAGAAATTATTCATAAGAGTAAGATTGCTTCTAAACACATTCTGTTGCTTTTATAGGTGGAATAAAGCGAACAACAATTATTACATACGCAAACTTGCAAACATGAAAGACTATTCTTCTGGGATTTTATTTTATTTTTTTAATGTATTTGTAAAGCACTTTTCAATTTAAGGTGCTTCATAACAGAGAAAACAGTACAATATGGGATGTAAAAATAAAAAGAAGTTTTGCTAGATTAACTTATTGAAACATGCCTGCATGCAGGATATATACACATATATGTATATTGAACTCCTGTGTGTATGTGACCCTCCAAACACGCCAAGCTGGTCACCTACCAGATATCCAGTTGCACTGGCACAGGGGAGAGAAGACTGAGTATTGTTGCAAACATAACCACCGCTTTGCACAGTGGCAAGACAAAGGCAAGATGGACCAATACCTTTTTCTTGGCCTGTAGCAGCTCCTGGTAGGCACTGGATCGTATAAAACGAGGATAAGAATCACTTTTCATCAGTTTGTAAATGTGCTCCTGAAAGGGAAAGAAGGAGCTGTTACTCCCATAAAAGAAGACATAGGTAAAGTGAGAGGCAGTCGTATATGTTTTAGTTGTGGAATGTATACCAGCCAGCACTATACAGGAACGGAAGTCTTCTGGGATGGTAGGTTGCAATTCTGAAGCTAAGGCTGAATTGCTCTCTATTCTTAAACCAGAAATCCCATTTATTTGTTATGTATAAAGAACACAACACATCCTTCTTTAATTTATAGTCCCTATTTCCGCTACAGAATTAGGTGTCTAAGAATTTACAGCTAAGTCCTAGCTTAAGGCCCGGTTTCAAACCTCCCTTGCATTAGTTAGTTTAGCTAACTGACTAAATCAGGAGGTGTGGATCCTTCCTCATCAGATTTTCTGAATTAGTTTCCAGAGACACTTTTCTGACTTCATAGGTTAGGAAAAAGTACTAGATTTCTAAGTCAGCACCACAAATCAGCACTTAAGTTGGGATATGGCTACTCTTGAAAACATCCTGTGACAGACGTTTAGTCTGCTGTCCAGCTGACAATATAAAAAGGAAAATACATATGCAAATTGAAAAACAGTTCCATGCTAATATAATTTCCAAGGTATTTATTCCTCAGGGGCATATGAAATTTTGGAAACTCTTATCCAGAAAACAAATGACACAAGCAGTTTATAGGGCTTTTCTTTTTGGAACATTCTCATTTATGTAAAGTATGAAAACCAAAAAATCTATGACATAGGTCACTTTATAATTCTAGTTCTAGGCATAAAGTTAGGAAAGAGATTTGTAGAAAAAAATTGGAATAGGAAATACTCTCAAAGATATTATTAAAAACTCCACTGAATTGTGTTGGCTATTTTTGGTTTATTTTTTACTCAAACCTTCCATTTTTTACTTGTAGCACAGAAATAAGGAAACAGCAAATAAACCATGAAGTAAATGCTGTTTCTCAGCTTGGTACTGCATAAAATTAGTGAATAGAAAGAAAGCCCAACAAACCACCTTGCAAGGAAAAATTAAAGCTAGTTTTAAAATTTTGTTGTATTAAAAACTCTGAAAATGACTTTAAGTGCCTTTCATTGTATTTCTGACACTAAGCAGAGAAATTCTGGTGCATATTCAGAGTTTAGGCTGCTTCATTTGGGGAGTTCTTATTCCACTCAGTTTCTATGAAAGCAGCCAATGCTGCCAACAGGGAGCAGAAAGGACTGTTCTCCTGTTGTACATATCAATGGTGGCATTAAAATGTTATTTCTGCGCAAAATATAACCTTATAAAAACAAGAACAAATTAGGCTGTATTAGTATCGTTAATGTATACATTAGTCAGGAATTGAGGCTAGATGTTATTTAACACAATCAGTCTATCTTTAGTCATGTATCTCTCTCATTTGACATGGAGTTCCATGGTGCTGTCTTTCAAGTCCAGAAATACTTTTCAAAACATTTTTAACCGCAATTAGATGACTTGCTGGTTGCCAGAATGACTTATAAGCGGTCTCTTTCCCAAGTGGCAGGCCATAAAGAGCCTGCAGAGGCAGAGCCCTGCTGCTGACAAAGCCCTGCCACTGCAGGTGGGGCACTCTGGAAAGGTCCTCAAGCTTCGAGTCAGAACACACAGGTACAGTCTGCCCCCTTTTCCCAGAGAAATAGTGGCTTCCAGTATGCTGAACTGGATCCAACAAGCAGAGGTCTGACAGGAGGAAAAGTCCAGCTTGCATAAAGACTGAATACTCCATGTCTTTCACAAATGAAGGAAAAAAAATTCGAGAAGAGAGATCTGGAAGTAAGATGGTGTTGAAATTTTATACCTATTTAAAAAAATAAATTGGATACTGGCAAGGAATTTAATTGTCCTTTACTGACTCAACTGCAAAGACGTATTTTTTTTAAACCTTTAATCTTACTAGATTATTTGTGTCACTTCTGTCTTTGCTATATGCTGCATTCCTAAATCTCCAGAGGGTCAGCACATGCAAGCAAAAACTATGTGTTTGGCTTAATGCAGAGTACTTCAAAACAGTGGCTATGATATAGTGCCTAATGAAAGCTTTATTGTTTCATCATAGGTTGCTATTCTTATAACAGCAAAATGAAAAAGTGGTAGAATTATTCCCCCTCCTACTTTGGGCCGAGGCACTTTCCCAAAAAGTAGAAAGCCCCGATTCAATTCCCTTCTCTCCTTTGTGGGACTTGCAGCAGCATCTCCTGACTCCCAAGACGATGACCTAATAATCAAGCTGCAGGAAATTCTGCAGGGATATCATCTCAATCTCTTCTTTTGACACCATTTCACTTTGCATTAATAATTAAATTTTCATCACTGGGCTGCTGATGAAAAAGCGAGGATGGTATCAGTTCTACTACTCTTACTGTGAATCCAATTGTTTTCTATTGCTTTACTCAGAAGTCTGCAAAGATGAAATATTAAGTTATAAGTCATATGAAGTATTACATTTAATACAGAAGTACTTGCTTTTTCTTCTGAGGAAAATTGAGATTTGTATTTTACTGTTTTGTTTTTTTAACTTTTAATCTCAAAAATAAAAGTATTTTCACAAATGTAGCTCTGGTCAAAAGTATCTTTTGATGATGGTATTCAAATTGCTACTAAATCAGACCCCCAAAATCCAAATAAGACATCTACTGATTGTCATTTACTGCTGTAATACTCATTATTGAAGCGCAGATTTTTGGGATCTTTGCCCAAAATTCTGTAGATAGTAGTTTAATATGGTACAGAATGCACAACATCCGTGAAATATGATACTTCTACACAAGCTGTCACAAAATGTTTTTTCTCACATAGGTCATATTTCTTCATACTGGGAATCTATGACTCCTATAAATGATAACAACAATTTTGGACATGCATTGAGACAACAGACATCGAGCCTGTATCAGGAGAAGACTTTCAGTAATGTAACTGAATAATAAAATTAATAAAACAGGAACATAAAAATATAATTTTCACTGCACTATATGCTTTGCTCCATTTGAAGTCCACTGGAAGACTCTACATCAGGCACAGAAGTTTCATGAAGAGCTTCACAGGCCTCATGAAGGAAAGAATGTTACCCATTTGCATTGCCAAAATGGCATTTCAGGAAACAGAGCATTACCCTTTAATTCCTAAATATATCTTTGTTTTTATATATATAGATTTCACTAGCCAATATTCTACTTCAAATATCCCTAAACAGGATTGCAAACCGACCTGAGCATCTTCAAATGTGTATCTTCCAGGGTCCTTTACATTCTGCGTGGTTTTGTCATAACTTTTTGAATCTAGATTGATAGCGCTGGGGGCACCTGGAGCAAGAAATTCTTGCCAGATCTCTTGGACGCGAGCAGGAACTTCACGGATAGGCCTCTTCTTCAGGTCTTCTACTGCTAACCAGAACCTATGGCACAACATAGCATCTTGACTTCCAATTCAGTATAATTATTAATGAAATGCTCATACTCTTCTTCGATCTTAAAAAAAAATGAAGTAACTGAAGTTTTCATCTACAACATGCCAAAATAAGAAAAATCTGTAATTTTATGTTGGGATCAGCATTCTGATATACTTTCTCAGGCAATCAATCCACCTTAAGAAGCAATTATTACAAGCCTTTTCATGCGGTGGGTGGGAAATCCTTCATTACTTATGTATGGGTAACTTATGGGAAGGTTTCCATTTAGCTGGAATTTAACTAAGATTTCATTTCACCTGAACCAGAAGGGCTTTTATTGCTTGTGAACCTATTACTTTTTGACATTCCTTCAAAGGCTAAAAAGAACTTATGTTCTTTCTATCTACACAAATCTCTCTCAGTCCTAAAAAATGAACTATAAACTGTGTAACTGTAATTTTGTTACTATTACTCCACAAATCACGTATAAACTGGAAAAGCTTTTGTTTTGCTCGCTATAATTTAATTTCTTTCTTCAGCATTGCATTTCACTGAATATTTTTACTAAAATGATGAATGGAAGTACTCATTCTTTCTTTGCTGCTGAGCAAACCAACATCAGGCAGCCACATATAGTGCAGGCCAGTTCATTGTATCTTTCTCACTGAGTCTGGAGCAGGACCACTAAAATTGTCGTGAGCACTTTATGATCACAGCTAGGTAGCTATAAGCTTGGATAATCACTTTTCAGTTGCTATTATGACTGTTTTACCATTATTTCTTCTATGGGTGTTCACACTGTCTCACTGCACAAATTCTAAATTCAGCTAGGATCCCATGCTTAGACATGGCGCAGACCACTCAGTTCTCCCCCGCTCCTGGAGAGCTCCACTAAAGTTTGACTTTGTTAAAAATGCAATATGTACCATCACAACTTTTCATTGTTGTTTTGACACAGATGATCCTATGAAACAGATAAGCTGAACCTTGAAGTGAGTTAACAAAGCACAGATACAGGCTGGGCAGAGAATGGATTGGGAGCAGCCCTGAGACAAAGGATGCGGGGGTGCTGGTTGACCAGAAGCTTAACAAGACCCAGCAATGTGTGCTCACAGCCCAGAAGGCCAACCGTATCCTGGGCTGCATCCCCAGCAGAGTGGCCAGCAGGTCGAGGGAGGGGATTCTGCCCCTCTACTCTGCTCTGGTGAGACCCCACTGGGAGTCCTGTGTCCAGCTCTGGAGCCCTCAGCACAGGACAGACATGGAGCTGTTGGAGTGGGGCCAGGGGAGGCCACAAAACTGATCCAAGGGCTGGAACACCTCTCCTAGGAGGCAAGGCTGAGAGAGTTGGGGCGGGTTCGCGGAAGGTGTCCCTGCCCATGGCAGGGGAGTTGGAATTTAGATGATCTATAAAGTAGCTTCCAACCCAAATCATTCTATGATTCTACGAACTGTGAAATAAGTTGGCTTTTACAGGGCTGACAAATAGTTTGGGTGCACCTTCAAAATGTGGTTCCACTGACACTGTGAGATCAAACTTGCTTAGCTTAGTTAAACAAAGTCGGGACAGGGCAGAGGAACAGTGGAACCGTACTGAGACCACCCAAGAAAGCAAAATTATACCACCCTCAATCCAAATTTAAATATAGATATTGCAACAAGTCTTAAGAGAAGATAGTAAAGCATAGCAAAGAAAACCTTACAGTATTCCTCCTATAAGACATTCTTCACTCGAGATGATTTACCTTCCAGGAAACAAATAGGCCTTCACAGTACTGTTTTGAAACTCCTTTGTAGCATAGATGGAAGGAGACCGTGCTCATCACTTACAAGCCATTATGGTCAGCTTCGCTCTACTGAGATGACTATTTTAGTTACTTCTACACTATTCCATTTCCATAGTACCTAAGCACAATCTTTCTGTCTATTGAACCCATAAGACTGCCCAAAAGACAAAGGAGTAATATTATCCCAGTTTTGCAAATATATTAATAATGTAGTAATTTACAGTGGTTTCTCCAAGGTCACGAAGGTAGTCTGTGCCAACAGAAGAACTTCAGTTTCAAAAATTCTGGGTAGCATCACTTCTCTTTATGAACTGCAATGTGAATTGAACATAGATCTACAGAGAGCCTGGGGATATATCCTGAGAATCTGATGGCAATGCAGAAAGAATGGAGGCCTCATAACTCAAGATTAAAAACTGCACAGCTCACAAACTCTACTTCAGCTCACTCTGCCAAATTTGTGCAACCTACTTTGGTTTCCTTAAGCTGCTTTCGATATTTGCATTTAAAAGTGTATATCCTGCAGTGCTAACGCCTTCAAATGCCTCTTCTGGGACTGACTGATTACTCCTGTGTATCGAAGTCAGGTAAGGAATAGAAAAATGAAAGGGAAGGATTTTCTTGGTAAACACACATTTTCTATCACCCTGCAGACATCCTGAGGATCTAGCTCAAAGCTGTCACATTCTTATTTGTTCCATTATATCACTGCCAACACTTCTGGAAGTCACCACAAACATGCCGTAGGATGCTCTTTTCTTTTGCACGTAAACTGTTTCCATATAGCAGGTTATATTCAATTATGGGGAAATAGATGGGAGACAAATTTAACTTTGTTGAGGAAACATTCAGCTTCCAACGTAGAACAGGCAGGTGGTATAGACACATCCTTACAGGCTGAACACCAGCTCTTTGATAGATTAATTTTTTTTTATCCTTCTAACATTAGCACTCAAAAATCCTATGGAAAATGTGATGTTCTAAATATAGAAGCCTCTGTAAAAGTGGGAAGAAAGTGCTGATTTCTGCGATATGTTATATCTAGGGTGCTTACTTCACAGTTGACACACGTTTAAACATTTTAATCTACTTACTGATCTTTCAATAAAAAATGCCTGCCCTCGTCCCATGTAGAGTTAAAGTCAAATGTGCAAAGTTAGGGAATGCCCAAAATAAGGCTACCACCTCTTGCATTTTCAAAAATAACTTTTCCAAATATCCCATGGCAACCAGTAGCACAGATGAAGTTGAAATGGAGTCTGCAAGACCTCAACACAGGGCGTCAAGTCAAAAGAGTTCCCTGTCCCATTTTACAGCTCTGCTTCATGAGCTGTGACCAGAGTAAGCGAAGACTCCTGTAGCAGACAGCATGCAGTGTGCAACAGTAAATATTTTAAACATGTGTGCATTTTCTAGACAATGATATACACAAACTTAGTGCTTTTTCATGGAAGGAACTAGAGCTCAGTCTCTCTACCCTTGGATGAAACTCTGTCTCCTGTTGCTGGAGGTTTACTTTTGCCATGGAGACACTCTCTAGAATATGCTCAGTACCATTTGAACAGAGACCTGAGTAGCTGGGTACAAACCTCACTGCTGTCTTCTGTCCCAGAATTTGGGCTGCCATACCCTGGGTCACACGCCGTACGTATAGCTGAGGGAGAGTGTATAGCATATGAGAGTCGTACATTCAGCCACATGACATGGTGAGACACATGTTGCAAGATATCCGGAGATTATGTCCTCCAGCTGGATTACTTTCAAAGTGAGGGTGGCCTTGCCAGATAAATAGCACAGCTGCAACACTGCTTCTGTCCCATTAACTGACCTAAATGTCAGATGCAGCCATCAGCACATCCCAGATCAAGCTAATCAGCTGAATTTAGCACATAGGAGCACAAAGTGAAAGAAAGGCTACAGTGATTCGCCATGAAATGTGTAAGGTTTAGGCAGAGCGTGGAGACAGTGAAGTGAGAATTACGTGGGCTTTGCACCCAGTGGACATGACACAACAGGTCAGAGGATAGACCTTTCAGCATGTTCAGCAAAAGCAAACAAAAACCTTAACAAACTCCATGGAGAAAATCAGCTAACATTTTTCTAGGGGCAGGAAAGACTACTCTTTGATTCCTAGAGTACACCTTCTTGCCAAGTACAACTTCAAGCTTCAGGACATAGTAGTGCTGCAAGTCTTCAAGAAAATGACAGAGAAAACCATTAAATCTTGCAACTAGTTCCTTCTCATCTAATCTGCAGAAATGGCAACATTGCTGGGACTTGGAGTTTAAGCTTGAGTCTGAATGAGAAATAAAGCACAGGCTATTTCAGCCTTGAGGATTAAACTCTGGTCAAGTTATTAGCACCCAAAACAGGGTCTAATAACACTGTGAAGGTAAACAGTACCAGTGCTCATGCTGTGTGGGAAAGTGTCACTACCAACACTTCTGTTCAGACTTGCAGGACAGACATCAAGGATGGTTAATCAGTCTTCATACCTTCTAACATGCAGAGCTCTCTTCACCATCAGTGAAGACAGAAATGTCTTGCATTTAGTTATGAAGAGCAGTGATCAGTAATAAAGAGCAAAAAAGTGAGAGTGAAACAGGCTGGATTAAAAAGAAATTTTAACCTCTTGCACCATTCTCCCTCTTCTCTAGTAAAAGCACTGTTATGGTGTTATCAAAAGAAAAACTAGAACCACGGAAGTAAGTTAAACATAAAATTAAGCATGATGACTGAAACAGTTTGTAGGCAACACTGCAAAATCTTACTAGTGTATATGTGGAGTTTTATTTATTTTTTCTACAGGATATAATTGAAGCTGCTCTCTCCAGTACAGAACATTTCTACAACAACTTAAATGGACGAGTCCAAAATCAACATCTCACAAAATCTCAGCTTGCAGGGGGAGGGTCAGAGAAAATTTATCAAGAGAAAACATCTAAATCTAGCTCTCTTCAGTCCTTCACTTGTTTTTCTGGACAACCAGAATTCAAAGCTCCTTTTCCCTATTTACTCACATATCATGAAAGCTATTAAATGAGGATAAAAGGAAGGGGCAAGGGGTCCAGCGGCTTTTCCTTCTGCGCATCATGGAAGATGTCCCGTCACCACTCTCCCTTCACTGACCTAGGAGGCTTTTGCAGTCTTAGCACTGGCTTGGAGATCACACCTACTGTGATACTGCGTAATGCCTTGGACAGGCTTTCAGGCTGGCAGGTCTGAAACCATTTAGCTCTTCACAGGCTGCAATTCCTACAGAACAACCACTTGGGAGCAAATGTACAGTCAGCATGTGAATATTAACTTTCCAAAGAATTCTGCAGCACTGCAGAAAAAGGAAGGATGTGGAGAGGAATGGGGATTTTCTACAGGGATGAAAGAAATTAGGTCTCCACATTGCAGTAAGACTCATTTCACTGTCTCATTCTCTTTGAAAATTCCTTTTTCAGTGCTTAGACAGCCTTGCAACCAGGCTCAGTAGTATCAGATAATGCTCAAATTTAAGTCTTGTGAATTTTAAACAATGGTCATCATTTTTGTATTAGGCAGTGGGAATTTTATAAATTTCTTATCCAAATCATATGTTACTTTAGCTATTTGTTCTGTGTAGTGACCAGCATGCAAAGTGATCCCTCCAAAAAATCTGCATGGTAACAAGAGAGTTACAAGTCAGCCTGCATTAAGTGAATGCAGAATCCAGCCTGGGTGTTAGCAAACTGCAATCCATCTGTAACAAAGCTACTGCACTGACAGAACTACTTAGTTTTATTTCTTTGCTGTGCTTTACAATGCCCCTTTAGAGACTGAAATAATATTAATTCTAATTTACAGGCAAAGAAAAAAAGCACAGAGATACAGCGTATGTAGGTGAAAGCCCGTTGCATTCCTAATCATTGCACAGTTCTTGGTTTTAACTCATGGCTCGAGTTTTATCATCCCTGTTCTGTTTCTTAAGACAGGATCTACATCCACTACGACCGAGATTCACAGCCAGCTTAGAGACTCTTAGTCCGAGCTAATGAAACAGTAATGCTGGGACTTATAGCTACATAAGATAATCACACGTGAACAGAAACGGTGTATCTGGTGGACATATAATTTCACATTTTTGGCATTTCTTTCACCAAAGTGAGGTGTAAGACTTCTAACCAAGTAATACTGAATCTCTGCAGTGTCTGCAGTCCCTTGCTGTATCCCGTGCACTGCGTTTGGTAGCCTGAGTCCAGGGTCCCAGCAGCCCACCCCACTGTAGGTTTCATGGTGCTTCTTGTAAATTTTATCACTATTAGACCAGCAAAAGGACAAAAGTCAGCTACTGACTTGAATTCGCTTTGTTGCAAAGGGAAGATGTGGATGGAAATAATTTTCTCAAAGTGGCTGTCAAACCACAGAATCACAGAATCACAGAATCACAGAATCACAGAATCACAGAATCACAGAATCACAGAATCACAGAATCACAGAATCACAGAATCACAGAATCACAGAATCACAGAATCACAGAATCACAGAATCACAGAATCACAGAATCACAGAATCACAGAATCACAGAATCACAGAATCACAGAATCACAGAAT